TGCCACTGTTTATCTTCAGGAGGCCAAATCTTTTGCCGCTATTGGTGCACCTCTTTCATCATCAGAGTTTAATTTATATGTTTTCCAAGGCATTCACTCTGATTTTAAAGACCTCGTCACGACCCTCACTGCTCGTTTGGACCCTGTTTCTTTTTCTGAATTGCATAGTCTTCTCTTAAGTCATGAATTTCTCCACCGTCGGGAAACCACGCCTCCTACCTCTATTACTGCTCCATAGGCTAATTTCACTCAAACTACTTCCCGAGGCCGTTTTCATGGTGGTTTAACCCATGGTGGCCGTGGTCGCGGTCACAACCGTGATCGTTCTTTTTTTTCTTACGGTTCAAGATCTATCGGGGGTGTTCGTCTCTCGTTTCCTGGCTCGGGCTCGCCTCATGATGGTCTTCTTCCTACACCCTCCAATGACACCAGAGTTCGCTGTCAACTTTGCACCGGCATGGGTCACACTGTCACTCAATACTATCATCGGTTTGATCGAACTGTGGCTCCAAGTGCTCATTTCACTCCTCTCTACCCGTCCTCTTCCAGCACTTATTGTGATCCAAGTTTCTCCCCTTTCTCTCAGTATAACTGGTTTCTGGACACCGGGGCTACTCACCATGTTATCCTGGATCTTGCCTCTCTTTCTCACATTGAAGATTATCATGGCCCTTCTCATCTTCGGGTTAGCAACGGTATGGATATTCCTATCTCTCATATTAGTTCATCCTCTATCACCTCTCCCTCCACCTCTTTTAAAGTTTCTCCTGTTCTTCATGTGGCCACATTTTCGAAATCTTTATTATTTGTTCATCAATTTACTAAAGATAATAATGTTTTCTTTGAATTTTACCCCTCACATTTTTTGGTTAAGGATCAACTCTCCAAGAAAGTTCTACTCTTAAGCAAGAATGATGGTAGTCATTACCGCTTCTCTCCTTCCTCGGTTTCTTCTACCGTACTCTCCTCCGAAGTTGTGTCCTTCACCCATTGGCATACTCGTCTTGGTTATTCACATCACCGTGTTCTTAGTGAAATTCTCCGATCTCATAATCTTCCGGTTTCCAACAAGTCCCCTACTGCGATATGTCTTGCTTGTCAACTTGGCAAATCCTCGAGGTTCTCTTTACCATCTTCCTCCAGTCGTAGTTTAGCTCCTTTAGATCTAGTTTTTAGTGATGTTTGGAGTCCATCCCAGTTTTGTCCAGTAATGGTCACAAATTCTTTGTAATATTTCTGGATGATTATTCAAAATTTATTTGGTATTTTCCTATCTCATAAATCTGATGCTTTTCAAATTTTTCCAAAATTTCAAGTTTTGGTTAAACGCCAATTCTCACGCAAAATTAAACTTATTCAAACCGATTGGGGCGGTAAATATCGCAAACTCAATACATATTTTCAACACTTGGGCATTATTCACCGTCACCCCTGTCCACATACACATGAGCAGAATGGCCCGGTGGAACGCCGTCACCGTCATATTGTTGAGACCAGTCTCACCCTTCTTGCTTATGCGTCTGTGCCTTATAAATATGGGGACTTTGCGTTTGAAACTGTTGTTTACCTCATCAATCGCATGCCGTCTAGGGTCACCAATAATATTTCTCCTCTTCAATGTCTTTTCTCAAAATCCCCGGACTACAAATTTTTAAAGATTTTTAGGTGTCTTTGTTTTCATTTTCTTCGCCCCTACAACAAACATAAAATGTCTTTTCAGTCCACTCTATGTGTTTTTCTTGGGTATAGTCCATCTCATCTTGGTTATCAGTGTCTCGATTTTGTCACCACCCACATTTATATTGCTCGCCATGTCCGGTTTTATGAATTGACCTTTCTATTTTCAGCCCCACGTCCCTCTTTTTCTATTTCCACTCCCTCTTCCTTGGGTCCTTATATTGCGTCACCGATACATGTTGAGTCTTCTTTCATTCATTTCCCTGTGTTCACTCCTCCACTTCAGTCCCCATCCACAGTAGTTTTCTCATCCCCTGCTGTCTCACGGCCTATTGCACCCATGCCGCACATTGTTGGGCTACGGCCCACTGTTGCCGCTACTCAACATCAACCTATTAATGCTCTATCTCCACCTCATGTCCCTCCTTTACCCACTGCCTTACCACTGCCGTATTCCCTTCTGCCCCCTCCCTCCTCTTCCGTTACTCCTACCAGTTTACCTCCCTCCCCAGCTTCTTTTTACCATAATTCTCGTGGTCTTAATCTCGTGGTGGACCTCACTTCCCCTTTCCCTCCTTCCCCTGTTCCTTTGCGAACTCACCTGATGGTTCTTTACCATATGTCTTCTAAATCCACCGCCTTGCTAGCCACCTTTTATGTTTCGAATGAATTCCTTAAACCCACCTGTTTCACTTCCGCAAATAAATCACCCATTTGGCGTCAAGCCATGACGGCGGAAATTACTGCTCTCATCCGAAATGGCACTTGGAGTTTGCAACGCATTACTCCCGATATGAATATTGTGGGTTGTAAATGGGTGTTTCGGATCAAAGGTCGGGCCGATGGTACTATTGAGCGTCACAAGGCACGCTTCGTTACAAAAGGGTTTCATCAACAAAAGGGTCTTGATTATTTTGATACTTTCAGTCCGGTGGTTAAACCCATCGACATCCACACTATCTTGTCTCTTGCTACTTCCTATGGTTGGTAGGTTCGTCAACTTGATGTTCACAATGCTTTTCTACATGGTGTTCTTCAAGATGAGGTGTTCCTGCATCAACCACCTGGGTTTGTTGATGACAATCATCCATCGTTCGTGTGCAAGCTTCACAAATCTCTCTATGGTTTAAAACAGGCTCCACGTGCTTGGTTTTCTCGCCTCACTGGTTTTTTAATCAAGCACGACTTTACTCCATCAAAATCAAATAGCTCTTTGTTTATTTATCGACATGGTGGTATTCTGGTTTATCTCCTCATTTATGTTGATGACATATTGATCACTGGTAATTCCTCAGATTTTATGCAACAACTACTTCATACTCTTGGCCAAGAATTTGTCATCAAGGGTCTTGGTGCTCTGCATTATTTTTTGGGTATTGAAGCTCATTACCAATCTTCTGGGTTATTACTCTCTCAACGAAAATATATTTTGGATTTATTAACCAAATCTGGTATGCACCAATCCAAGCCTGTTCAGACGCCCATCTCCACCACCTCCAAGCTCACTTCTGCTCACGGCCATCCCTTGGTTGATCCTACACGATATCGCATGGTGGTTGGGTCTCTTTAATACCTCACCTTGACGAGACCGAATATCTCCTTTGCTGTCAACAAGGTTTGTCAATTTATGCATTCACCGACGGAAGACCATTGGCAAGCCGTGAAGCAAATCCTTCGTTATCTCAAACATACTTGCGATTTTGGCCTTCTGATTCGATCCTCCTCTCCTATTCGTTTGCAAGCTTTTTCTGATGTCGATTAGGCCGGTTGTGTTGATGATCATAAATCTATAGGTGGGTATGCCGTTTTTCTTGGTGACAACTTAGTGTCTTGGTCCTCTTGGAAGCAATGGATGGTGGCTCGCTCCTTTACTGAGTCTGAATACAAGGCATTAGCTGACACATCTGTCGAAATTTTATAGCTTACATCCTTACTTTCTGAGCTCAGTGTGTCCTTCCCCGTTCCACCGATTTTATGGTGCGACAATCTTGGCGCTACCTATTTATCGACTAACCCCATTTTCCATGCTCGTACCAAGCATGTCGAGATTGATTTTCATTTTGTCCGCAAAATGGTGGCTTGCCAGGAGCTTCAAATTCAGTTCATTTCCACTAAGGACCAGGTTGCAGATATCTTCACCAAAGGCCTCCTAGCACAGTCTTTTCGGTTCTTCCGTGACAAGCTGCAAATTCCTTCCCTAGAATGTCCAGCTTGAGGGGCTGTTGACATAGGATTCACAGAGTTCAGATTATTTCCAACTATAGTTTAGGTTGATCACCCAGTTGCATGCTTATCATCCTTATCTTCCCATGCTTATCATCCTAGTAATAGTATATAAATATCTCCACAAATATGTAATACGTGTGTGCAAATTATCATCATTGAATAAAATAATTGTTAAATTCATGTACCTTGTCTCAAGTCTCTTTGAGGAGCTATATATCTTTACCAATAATTTACTATATAAGGCTTGGTTTGGGAAGTGGGTTGGTTTTTTGGCTTTTTAATTTTTTTAGCTATTTTAGCCTGGGCTTAAAAGCTTAGTTTGGGAAGGACTTTTTGGCTTTTGGCTTTTTTGAGTTTTTTTGTGAGAGAAGAATGTAATGATTATGGGTTGGATGTGATCTTTTGTTTGTTATGGTTAAAATAGCCTATTTTATTTTTTGTGGCTAAAATAGCCAAAAAAACCTACAAACCCACTTACCAAACACATGCTAAATTACTTTACCATTTTACTTCAGAAGATTTTTTATGTCCCGGCTGTATATCTCAGGAAGCACTCAGACTAATATATGTCCTGGCTATATATCTCATTTTTTATTTAAAAAAAAATAATTTGTAAACAAAAAAATAAATATAAAAAGTCTCACAAGAATATATGGCAGTAATATTATAAAAATTATATATTATTTTAAAGGCTCTTTTTCATTTGATGAAATGAATGGATGCATTTATGACATTATATAAACTTTATATACAATTATTTATTTATTTATTTTTATTTATTTATTTGTATATCACCACTTTTTTTTCTTTTTCTTTTAGGCCATGTTTGATTCCACAAGACTAATAGCGAGGTATTAATAATCCAATTAAATTAGGGTGGTATTCACAATCTCACCCCTACCCCATTACTAATAATCCTACAAATTTGTTAAATTAATTATCTATTAGATTGATAATCCTAAAACAAAATGTCAAAACAAATATATAATAATTGAGCATGCGAATTAATAATCACAATCCCATACTCTAATTCTTCCAATCAAACATGCCATTATTGTAATGACAACCTCGCTATAGATGCACTCAAATTCTCATCATTTGCTTCACCATTATTTCTCTCCCCTCTCCCTCTCCCTCTCTCTCTCTCTCTCCACTTTCACTCTCTTCCATCTCTAACGACTATATATTCTTACAAAGACCATTTTAGCTTCTACATATGATATCCATCCATCCCCATATGATATGATGGAGAAACAGAAACTCCTCTTCTTCTCCTTCTCTTGTTTCTTCCTCCTCCCTCTTCTCTCAGGTATATATGCACTCATTCCTTCAGATTTTCAAAGTCTTTTAATTCACTTTCAAATTAACAAAAAATTAACAAATTCTATTCTTTGTCTATACATGTACATAGAAGTTGAAGGTGTGCAAGGAGGTTCTTCTTCTTCTTCTTCTTCTCAGCACAACACCACTCATCGCGGTCTCTACGGTTTTCATCCAACAAAGCTTTTCGTGTTCGGGGATTCCTATGCTGACACTGGCAACAACAGAAAATCTATTGCCGATTCTTGGAAGGTTCCCTATGGCATCACCTTTCCCGGCAAACCCACCGGCCGTTTCTCTGATGGTCGCGTCCTCACCGATTACCTTGGTACACCCCACCACACCATATCCCACCCACAACACATATATATCTCATGCCTTTGGATTCTCTCAAATTCATCATCTTAAGAGACCAGTATGGCTTAATATGTCCATTTTTCAGCTGACTTTAATTATTTAAATACTTCATATTTTTTAAAATTGATTGAATATAATATTTATGCAAAATTTAAGATAATGAACTACTAGAATTATTACAATCAACTTCAAAATGAGCTCACGAAATTTAAATTGTACTCTCAAAATAAATGATCGTATTTGATATATCAATCATGATATTATGTACTTTATCTTTTGCTTTTTCTCAAGTGAAATATATAATGGATTTTTTAAATTAATTCAATTGCTTTAATGATCTTATGTGGGCTGGTTTGGTTGGTAGTGCTTCTTCTTCGTCTATATCCCTGTAAAATTCTCCATTATTGGAGTCCTTTTCTTTTTTTCTTTTTTCTTTTTTTTCTTTTTTTATCCCTCTCATCTAGTCAGATCAACATCCTATCTTTCTCTTTTTGGTGCGCTTACTTTCTCACGTGATTATCTTTTATGTATAAAGATTTTTATGTTTATTTGATCATTTGGCAAATAGTATTGTCATTATCAGTGTCTACATTGCTTTTACCTACTGCATTATTACCAAAATCACTTTATCACTTTTGTTTTCCACCACCTATTATTATAATAATTTTAAAGTAGCCCACTTCAGAAATTTCTATACCCTTTTGAATTCAACTAATCTTCCACTTCGTCCTCCATTGTATCATCTAATTATTTTGAGAGTACAATTTAAATATCAACATCGTCACCAACTCTTTTGAGTAATGCTTTGAAACCTCACTTTTATGTATAAATATCAACATCGTCACCAACTCTCATCATGGACAGACACGACCCAAACTCTGATATCATTTTAGACGTGTAATTTAATCTCACCTGAAAGTATTGTCCATTATTTTATAACTCATGCCAACAACAGCATTACGAGTTTATCTTTTTGAGCTCCAATACAAAAGACATGTCCAAAGTGCAAATCTCTTGTGCCAGTTTTATGAATCTATCTTAAACAACATTTGCAACTCTTCAATTCTTAGGAAAAGAAAGTGAAATACGATTTTTTACAAGTTGTTTCACGCTCATTTAGCAAGAAAGTTATAGAACTTGTATTATCAGAGCCTCATTTGGAAATAAATTATTTTAGTTGATTTTTTAGTTCTTTTAGCCTAACTAAAAAAATTGTGTTTGTGATGGTAATGGATTTTTTTTTTTAATTGATTTTATGATTGAAAAAGAAAAAATGAAATAATTATAGATTTGATGTGTATTTTGTCTTATTATCTATTTTAACCTATTTTGTTTTTATTAGCTATTTTAGTCAAATAGTCTCTAACCAAATTCCTTAAATTATGTCTTGCAAAATATGTAAGATTTTGCAGGAATTCCAACTATATACACTTCCCGTTTTCTTGATAAATGAACATACATAGGAAAATAAGTTTAGCTTTTTTTTTTTAATTTACTTTACTACAATTTTCTTAGGAACAACCTTTTCGTTAAAATACCAATTTTAATGAACTTAGTGCACAACTTCTTTCTTTTTTTCATTTTTTTTGGGGTATTTATGTGATATATACATGTTTATGCAGCTAGGTTTTTGGGATTGAAGTCTCCGATACCGTACAGATGGAGAAAATTTGCAGCAAATAGGTTGAGGAATGGGATGAATTTTGCATATGGAGGGACTGGAGTGTTTGATACTCTGGTATTGGACCCAAACATGACAACCCAGATTGATTTTTTAGAAAAACTAGTCAATAATGACTCTGTTTACACAAAATGGGACTTGCAATCCTCTTTGGGTCTGGTCACTCTCTCCGGCAACGATTATGGTGCTTTCCTCGCCAAAGGCGGTTCTACCCAGGTAAATTTATCAATAATGTGTTTGCCTATTTCATTGTTTCCCCAAGAAAAATAGAAATTTTCATTTCATGATCAGTGATGATGGTGAAAAAAGTCATATTAAACGAACAAGTACAAGTAAGGTAATCTTAAATTCAGATGTTTTGAGTTTTACTCTTGGTAGTAGCTCTTGGTTTAACCAATGTTTGTGATTAATTTGGGTAGAATAACGGAAATTTCATCATATTTTCTTGCACTAAACATAATTATTGTGAAATCCATATTAATAAACATATGTGAAATTCATATTTACCTTTGTTGCTGATGATAAGAGAATTAAGTAAAGATTCTATTTATGTATAATATTGTTCATTTATAAATAATTCATCTTATTGTAAACTTTTGGTATTTAGTGACCAAGATTGACCTCAAATAGAGCATCTTTTTGCCGCTGTAAGGCGTTGATGAGCCGGATTAAATTTTCGGCGTTATCTTCACCGACGACAAATAACGACCAGTGCAACAACAAAAGATTCGGCTCGTATTTTAAAATCAACCGCCTAAATTGACCTAGATCTCCGAGATCCATTGCAAAATAATTCAAAATCTCCAATTATTTTGGATTAAATAGTTTCCTGCTTGCGCTTGCCTTTTTAGATCTTTTAATCCTGGCTGCAGATTTGGGAGCGGAGCGGAACGGAACCCTGTAGCCGACAACACGACACCAAATGCGAAAGGGAGCACCAATCAGGGAACGACACGTGGCGCGGGGGGGGGAGCGTCCCAGTAATATTATAGGGACGCTCCTGGGATCATATATAAGTCACTCCCTCACTCTCTTCTACCAGTAAAGTTTTTAGAGAGTGACTTGCGTCATCCGAGTGAGTGAGCGACGTCATTGAGAGTGAGTTATGGCCTCAATGCGACGTCGTTTTAGAGTTCAAAACAAGAACATCTTCCTCACATATCCCAGATGTTCTGTACCTAAAGAAAGATTGTTAGAGAAAATTAGAGAGTTGTTCACTAATAGGCCACCAAATTATGTGAGGATTGCACATGAATTACACGAGGACGGTGAACCACATCTACATGTTCTCGTCCAATTTCCATACCATTTTCAGACAGAGGATGAACGGTTTTTCGACGTTACTCACGATCGCAATAATCGCCATTTCCATCCAAATATACAAGGGGCCAACAACCATCAGGCTGTGTTGGAATACATCTCCAAATACGGGGACTACACGGAATGGGGTGAATTTCGCGAGAGAGGTCGCTGTGCTAACAAGGACAACAAAGAAAATGTATATCACGAAGCTCTTGCAGATGGAAGTAAAGAAGAAGCACTGGCACTGGTAAGAAAATGGTGATCCAAAATGTTTCTGGCTAAATTATGACAAGTTGTCATCCAATTACGACAGGATTTCATTTACTCCACCATTGTCGTATGTTCATCAATTTACAGATAGAGTGTGGATCGTTCCAACAGGCATACAGCAATGAGTTGTAGAAAATATAAGGGACGAAGCCTAAAGACCACACAGGCCCAAGAGCATTATAATGAAGGCCCATCTAGAATTGGAAAAACATGTTGGGCCCGGTCTTTGGGGTCACATAACTATTATTCCGGCCACATCGATTTGAGGGACCACAATGACGAGGCTTTTTACAACATAATCAATGATGTGGCCCCACAATATTTGAAACATTGGTGGGAATTTAATGAAGCACAACAGGATTTTTTTTCAAATTGTAAATATGCCCGCCCAAAGAAGATAAAAGGCGGGATTCCAAGTATTATATTATGCAACCCCGGAGCCGATTTTAGTTACAAAGAATTTTTGGAAAAACATGAACACGCCGGGCTCCAAGCGTGGACGATCCGAAACGCAGAGTTCTACACACTCAGTCAGCCCTCTTCGCCCGAACCAATCAAGAAGAGGCATCACAATGAGAAGAAGAAGGCCCAACGCAGGAAGATATTCCACTTCCAATGCGGCTGTTCGTTATTCCACGCGAACGGATGTATCGAACCACATCCACTGGAGAGAGAGGTTGCTATCAGGGGTCTTCTATGACACTTTGAAGAACCCGATGTGGTTCAAAGCAGTAGACATGTCCATGCCGGGGAACCAAGGTGTATATAAGTTAGAATGTCTGTTCAACTACAACCTCTGGAAAGCATTGGGAGTTCGGCTATATTCGCCGGTCTGAAAGCGGTTTCCGAATTAGAAAGCCAGGCGATGGCTCCATCCATGTAAACAATGGAGGACACACATCCTGCCGCTAATATCCGTTGAATAACTGTGGATGAAGAAGATCCTGCTGTGCGTTCTGGTTTTGGATTTTTTGGATAAAAAAAAAATTGTGTAAAATAATTATTTTGTATCATAAGTTGTCTTGCTTTGCAATACGCAATAAATTTATTTTATTTTTAGTTTAAAACTTTACTGGGCCGCTGTGCACATGAAAGCCGTTAAGTGTATTGGGCCTTATCTCTGACTGATGGGCCTATGTCTAATGGGCCTCCGAATATGATCCATTCTAGTGTCCACTTCTTTCATAGTTTTGATGGGCCTATGAAAAAGCATTGGCTAATTATGGGCCTTGTCACGTGATATGGGCCTCTTTATTTGGGAGACTGTAATTGGGCCTATTTATATTATTGTTGATGATCCAAAATAACAATCACATTAATTAAATGTACGTGAACATCATTTAATCATAAAAATTTATATAAATATTTCCCCACCGCCAATCTTTTACATAATATGAAATCTTGTCGAGTACAATGGTCAGTGCGAGACAATAATTTACAGGGCTAATAATTCCAAAGCTGGATAATGTCTTCGTCATCCTGCGTGCAATAAGCCGGGTAAATACATTCTGCGTCAGGCTTTTGAGACCACCGTATGTCAGCCATGTATACATTGTTATGGTGAATGTCCGGACTCCCAATACTTTCTGGAGGTTGTAGTTGAATAGGCATTCTAACTTGTATACACCCTGGTTCCCCGGCATGGACATGTCTACTGCTTTGAACCACATCGGGTTCTTCAAAGTGTCGTAGAAGACCCCTGATAGCATCCTCTCTCTCCAGTGGATGTGGTTCGATACATCCGTTCGTGTGGAATAATGAACAGCCGCATTGGAAGTGGAATATCTTCCTGCGTTGGGCCTTCTTCTTCTCATTGTGATGCCTTTTCTTGATCGGTTCTAGCAAAGAGAGGCAGACTGAGTGTGTTGAACTCTGCGTTTCAGATCGTCTACACTTGGAGCCCGGCGTGTTCATGTTTTTCCAAAAATTCTTTGTAACTAGAATCGGCTCTGGGGTTGCATAATATAATACTTGGAATCCTGCCTTTTATCTTTTTTGGGCGGGCATATTTACAATTTGAAAAAAAATCCCATTGCGCTCCAATAAATTCCCGCCAATGTTTCAAATATTGTAGAGCCACATCATCGATTATGTTGTAAAAAGCCTCGTCATTGTGGTCCCTCAAATTGATGTGGCCGGAATAATAATAATGTGGCCCCAAAGACCGGGCCTAACATATTTTTTCAATTCTAGATAGGCATTCAATTATAATGCTCTTGGGCTTGTGTGGTCTTTGGGCTTCGTCCCTTATATTTTCTGCAACCCATTGCTGTATGCCTGTTGGAACGATCCACACTGTATCTGTAAATTAATGAACATACGGCAATGGTGGAGTAAATGAAATCCTGTCGTAATTGGATGACAACTTGTCATAATTTTGCCAGAAACATTTTGGATCGCCATTTCTTACCAGTGCCAGTGCTTCTTTTTTACTTCCAGCTGCAAGAGCTTCGTGATATACATTTTCTTTGTTGTCCTTGTTAGAGCAGCGACCCCTCTCACGGAATTCACCCCATTCAGTGTAGTCCCCGTATTTGGAGATGTATTCCAGCACAGCATGATGGTTGTTGGCCCCTTGTATATTTGGATGGAAATGGCGATAACTGTGATCGTGAGTAACGTCGAAGAACCGTTCATCCTGTGTCTGAAAACGGTATGAAAATTGGACGAGAGCATGTAGATGTGGTTCACCGTCCTCGTGTAATTCATGTGCAACCCTTACGTAATTTGGTAACCTGTTAGTAAACAACTCTCTAATTTTCTTTAACAATCTTTCTTTAGGTATAGAACATCTGGGATATGTGAGGAAGATGTTCTTGTTTTGAACTCTAAAACGACGTCGCATTGAGGCCATAACTCACTCTCAATGACATCACTTACTCTCTCGGATGACGCAAGTCACTCTCTAAAAACTTTACTGGTAGAAGAGAGTAAGGGAGTGACTTATATATGATCCCAGGAGCGTCCCTATAATATTACTGGGATGCTCCTTCCGCGCCACGTGTCATCTCCTGATTGTTGCTCCCTTCCACATTTGGTGTCGTGTTGTCGGCTACGGGGCTCCGCTTCGCTCCCAGATCTGCGGTCAGGATTAAAAGATTTAAAAAGGCAAGCGCAAGCAGGAAACTATTTAATCCAAAATAATTGGGGATTTTGAATTATTTTGCAATAGATCTCGGAGATCTAGGTCAATTTAGACGGTTTGATTTTAAAATACGAGCCGAATCTTTTGGTAGTAGCTCTTGGTTTAACCAATGTTTGTGATTAATTTGGGTAGAATAACATAAATTTCATCATATTTTCTTGCACTAAACATAATTATTGTGAGATCCATATTAATAAATATATGTGCAATTCATATTTACCTTTGTTGCTGATGATAAGAGAATTAAGTAAAGATTCTATTTATGTATAATATTGTTCATTTATAAATAATTCATCTTATTGTAAACTTTTGGCATTTAGTGACCAAGATTGACCTCAAATCTAGCATGTCAAAGTTTAGGATTGAGACAAAAATGTAACATGTCAAAGTTGATTGCATGGTGGGAGATATCACTCGCTACTGTCATGTGGTATTTTTCATGAATCATAAAGGCATATGTCTATCTTTATTTCACAAATATTTAACATAAATGTAAAGTTAGCAGGGCCAAAAAATTCTCCCCAAAAAAAGAGACTTTTAAAACTATTTGCAGTATTTGAGCTCTAAATGACAAAGATAAAAATTGGAGTTGAACTTCCCTGAAATCTATAGGTTTGCCAAATTAGAGTTCCAACTTTTCTCAAATTCAAATATAAATTTGAAAAGATTATTTGGGCTTCTGAGATCTATCACGGATTACATTCCGATGATCCAAATATTTCATTTTATAACACTTTCCATGTTCAATATTCATAGAAAAAATTAAATCAATCCGATAATCGAATTTATTTTATTTTATTTTATTATGTTTTTCTTTTAAAAAAAAAGATCATCTATTTTTTATTTTTTGTTTTAGACAAATGTAATGAAAAAAAAATATTGGCTCTGTTGGTTTCAATTTTTAAAAAAAGTTTTGAATTGTATTTTGAAATATAAGTGTTTGAAAATTGAAAACTTGTTTGATTATAAATTTTGAAAATAATTTTAGAATGATTTGTAGTATTTTTTTTTTTTTGAAGTTAAATAGATAAGTGTGAGAGAAAAATTGATTGATTGATGTGTAAAGAGAGAGAGAGAGAAAATAATTTTAAAAACAATTTTTAAAAATGGTAAACTAAACATATTTTCTAATTTTTCAATTCAAAAATTAATTTAAAAATTAAACCAAATACTACCATTATAATTATCGAATTAATTAAAAAAATTATAAATAATATATATATATATATATATAATCCTACAAAATAAGTATTTCAAATTATTAAAATAAAACTCTCGTTAAATTCTGCGAACTCAAACAATTGATAGTTGTTTTTCACCCAGTTCCCTGTGCACAGGTTAGAAATCAATGGCCCTAACATATTAACCTGCGCCATATGCGCAAGACTCTTCTTATGATGTGTATAGTTTAAAACATTATTTCGAATCGGGCATATGGGGTGGTTTGAGATGATCTAAATAAGTGTATTTTTTAATTTTTTATGAAATATGAGTTAGATATGAATTGAATTTGAAATGATGTGATAAAAAGATAATGTGAATAGAATAATAACTTTTTAACTTTTTAAAATTATAACAAACAAAGCAGGATGGTACTGACAAATATATGTGGTCTGTGAGCCAAATAGTTTGTATGTCCTATTCATAACGTTTGACAAACCTTTGCCTTTATGGTTTATTTTAGAAAGATGGCAAAATGTAATTTTTTTGCCTTTTAACTAAATTTTTGATTTTTTTTAGATAAATAATTTAGAAAGTTGATAAAAAGTGATTTTTGACATTTTTAATTAATATTTGTTTATGATGTAAAATCATAATAAAATTATCAAATTACTCTTATTTAGTTTAAAATATTTATAACTTCATCCATGTAACATATTTTGATTCATAAGAGGTAGAATTATAATTTTATTATTGGTTAAAAATCAACTTCTCAAATAAAAAAAATTAAAAAAAATAAATTTTTAACTTTTATTACAAACTCAGAAAAAAAAATTGACTAAAAGCTAATTTTTCAAAACAAGCCTATATGGCAAGTTTGTTTAGTTGTTTGGACATCATAAAAATGATATCCCAAGTATTTCTCTCTCATCTTAAGAAATCCAGCATGGTTTATGTCTTTTCTAATTTCTTGGATTCACTGCCCCAGTCTGAAATGTTAACTGACGTTGGGCTCCGCTGATGACCTACCAATATTTGGTTTCTTGATAAATGGTCCTCTTTTATCGCATCAAATTTTTGTTGCAGATTTTTTGGGTTTTTAAGCTCAACCATCTTACAGTTCACTAAATTTTTATCACTAACATCATTATTAATGATATTTTTTTTTTGATCAGCAAAAAAAAAACTTTATTGATGAAAGAGGCATAGAACATGCAAAATTACATCAACAAAGCAGGGGAGTGCAGAGAGCATCATAGCTAAACTTAACAATCCCAACTAGGTTGGCACCGCAAAGAAAGCGCAATCATATGCTAGCACTCGACCCGGGATTGGTGAGAAGCCAACCAAGGGCACCCAAAAGAGGGAGCCGAAAGCAAAAAGCAAAACCTAAGAATCCAGCAGACCAACCCAACTAACAAGAAACAACCCTGCAACAACAGTGACCTCAACTGATAACCTCTTCTGATATCCTCAACCCAACAACAGTAAACAGATTAACCTCTACTAATACACCTTCTAATCTGAGGGAGATTGAAGACAAAATCATGAATAGGATACTGCCACTGCTTAGAAGCTGTACTTAACCAAAGAGCCACTCTATACTTAACTAGATCAGAGAGAATCTCAACATCAGCTACTGCGTTATTGAATACGCAGTCATTTCTTTGCTTCCAAAGAGACCAAAGGGTTACAAGAGGGATACATCTCCAAATCACCTTCTCTCTCTTCTGAAACTTACCACCCTCCCACCACTGAAACAAACAATCAACTGAGCCAGGCATTGCCCAAGATAGACCCCACCAATCAAGCAAGGACGACCATACCAACCACACAAAATGGCAATGAAGGAGCACATGTAACACCGACTCCTCATCATGCTTACAGAAGCAACACAGGGTAGAAGTTCCTCCAGGGAGGACCGCTATTTTCTGAAGGAACACAGAGGTCTTAATCTTATGCTTCCAAGCGAGCCAGCCGAAAAACTGGACTTTAGGGGGTAAAACCTTATTCCACAGCATTCTAGGAGCTCCCAGTTGATTTCCAACTCCACTGGAACAATGCTTATACAGAGAAGCTACTGAAAAGAGACCTGATGATGTGGCTGACCACTTAGGGTAATCAACTCTCTCCAACCTAATTAAGGGACCAGGAGAGATAATAGAGACCAGTCTCAGCAAATCAGCTCTTTCCCATTCAAACAACTCTCTTCTGAATAATAAGTTCCACTCCCCTGAGGATGCCTTTAGATCAACAAAAAGTCTAAGAGCACCTTTCTTTTCTTTTGACAAGCTGAACAGCCTAGGAAATTCAACTCTCAAACAGTGGCCATCACACCACAAATACTCCCAAAAACTTATTCTACAGCCATCTCCCACCTGCACGCTGAAATTATTAAGAAAACACTCCAACATTGAGGGGTAAAAAGAGGCCAGTGATGTAATATCTCGCCATAATTTTGACTGCTTCCAGCTATCACCAGAAGTCGGCAACCAGCAGCACTCATCAATGTTGTACTTACTGCAAATTACTTTTCTCCACAGAGCTTTTGACTCACAAGCAAACCTCCACCACCACTTCAGTATGACAAGAAAAAAAAAAAAAAAAAAAAACAAAAATTAAGACACAAAACACATGTCACAGTGGATGGGATCCACTATCACATTCCTAATGCAACAACTAATTAGTGGTCTGTATTATTTTTTTTGTAAGCTTCTTCCAATCTAGAAATATCTAAAGAAAAACAAATTGACATACATATCGGCTTCTTTTGGGAACATAGTTTTTAGTTACTTTTTTTGGTTTGTAATAAAAGTGGAAAGTTAATTTTTTTGGCTTTTTTTTTATTTGAGAAGTTGGTTTTTAGCTAATGATAAAATTACAATTATATCCTTCATAGATCAAAATGTTCTATATGGATGAAGTTGTAAATATTTTAAATTAAATGGAGGTAGTTTGGTCATTTTATTGTGATTTGACATTATAAATAAATATTAATAAAAAAAAGTCAAAAGTAATTTTTTACCAACTTTTCAAATCATATGTCTAAAAAAGTTAAAAACTTGATTAAAAGTCAAAATATCACTTTTTACCATCTTCTCAAAATAGATCATCATCAAAATGTGTGATTTGTCCATACAACGTTCTTGAGTCGCACTCATTTCATATGTATAGTATTTTATTTATCAAACATTTTATTCTTATTTTTTTGATATATTAGAGGAGAGACATCAATCAAACTTATGATCTTCTAACGAAGTACATAAGTTTTGGCCAGTAAATAATTTGTTTATCAGTAATTGAAACTGATTTTGATTTTGCTCCCTTCCCCCTTCCTTTCTATATTTTATTGATGCTTATCTTAATGTACTTCTTCAATTTTTGTTAATAGAATTTATTAAAAGAGTAATGTTTTATCGATATAAAGACATAAAAGAGCTATTAAATACACCTCTCAAATTTTTCTCTACATCCATATGTATAATTATATTTAAAAGAAAAAAATCACTAGATATGCAATACAAATGGGTATGAAGAGAAATTATGTGAGTGTATTTAAAAGCTCCCGACATAATAATTTTAGAAATCAAATACGTTAAAGATTTTCTATTTCCAAATTATTTTGTCTCTCTATTTCAAAACACTCATAATCATTAAATCATGTAAGAATATAAAAAGCACAAAAGTCTTGACACATAATTCAACAACTGTGACAAAATTTGAGAATAAAAAATCTGGTGGCCATATTGAGTTAGAACAAATATATGCTTGAGAGTTTGTACTCGAACAATCTGTGTGTTTTTGTAGGATTTGCCATCATTCATAAGTGCAGTGGTTGATCAACTAGCAGAGAACTTGAAAAGAATACAAGATATAGGAGTGAGAAAAGTGGCAGTGACAGCAATGCAGCCACTGGGATGCCTCCCTAGAAGCACAGTGTTGAATTCATTCCAAGAATGCAATGCCACTGAGAACACTGCTGTCACTTTTCACAACCTCTTGCTTCAGCAAGCTGTGTCCAAGCTCAACAATAACTCCAAGGATTCTTCTGCCTTTGTCATCCTTGACCTTTATGGCTCCTTCATTTCTGTACTCAAGACCAAAGGAAATTTTCTAGGTAATTTCTCTGCTTCACTCTCTTTCTTTAATTTTTTTTTTTAATTAAAGGAAATACATATTTTGATTTTCAATTCACAAAACAGTTTTAAAAAAAATTTAAGGCAAATTACATTGGTAATTCTGACATTTCACCTTATGTGTCATCTTGGTCCCTATACTTTCAATTAGCTCAATTTTTATTCTTAATTTTAAATTATGTATCAATTTGGCTAGTTGTCACATTTATAATTTTGTTCCTAAAAATATAACATATGTTACTCATATGTGCATTTTTCGTTAAAAAAAAAATGCTAATTGTTGACTCTATTGGACCAAATTGAGACAAAGTAAAAGATTCAAGGTTAAAATTGAATCAATTAAAATTACAATGACTAAAATGATACAATGGCTAAAACATATGAATTACTGGTGTAATTTACCCGAAAGTTTAATATTTAATGATGTGGCTAAACTTAGGCCTAACATTTCAAACTGGAGAATGGGTAAATTACACTTTATATCCAATATCACCTAAGGTTATTATTTTTTAATTGTAATAATCAACCTTTTATATTTTTTCAAGTTGGAATGTGATTTTAAATTAATTAAAGAAAATTGTTATGTGACTCTCAAATAATGCAATTTTTAAGGGCATACAAATAATTTTCTTCATATTTATTTTTATTTTTTAATTTCTTCACCATATTTTTTTCCTTTACTATATTTTCTAAACCTACACACATTCATCGCCACTCGCCCCCACCATTTTTTCTAAAGGGTTAGGGAGTGGCAAGAACGGGTAATTGGTGGCAGTGGGTTCAGAAAATTTAGCAGAGCTAGAAAATACAGTGAAAAAATAGGGGGAAAAAAAGAAAAAGAAAATAAAATTTTTTTTGTTTGCCCTAACAGTATCTTATGTGAGAGGTTACATGACGATTTACGTTAGTAAATTTAACACCAAATTAGCGCAAGAGCCAATTTAACCAGAAGTGTAAGGGTGGGCTGTTTTTGGTACGATAAGAGAGACCATGCCTTTTCTTTGGTAATTCTCAACTATTTTGGAATAGTAAGAAACAGACAGTGATGCATTTTGTTTTTGTGTTTTGTTATAGTTTTTCAAAAAAAAATTTTTGTGTGGATTTTATCAGTTGATTGCAATAAACCGATATCAACTTCTTCCTGAGCAGGAAGTGTGAAATTTGAGACTCCATTGAAGCCATGTTGTATGGGTACAAGCAGTGGGCATTACTGTGGTAGCCTAGATGAGAAAGGAGCCAAGATGTATGCCGTATGTAACAACCCTGAAGCTGCATTCTTTTGGGACATGGTGCATCCAACACAAGCTGGATGGCGTGCTGTGTATTTAGCTTTGAAATCCACTCTCCAAAAAATTAACTAGAGGTATTTCAACAAAAAAAAAAACTATAAAATTTATCTTCCTGTTATTTTATTTGTTATTAATTTTGTAATAATGTTTCTGTTTAAATTTGTTTAGCAATTTTGGTGGCACTGTTAGACCTATGAATGAAGGACATGAATCTTTGGACAACATTATGCTCTGTTTGTCCAATATTATCATTTATGGAAAATGATTTACTTTAGACTTTGAAAATATGGCGCATTACACTAACCGTTCTTATAATTTGATACTTATATCACTTTGATTTCTGATTTTTCAATTGTGATATATTTGACCATGAATTTTGAATCTTGTTCTAAATAAGGACAATCAAAGATATTTTCTTTAAAAACGATCTATTTCAAGGATAAAATCCTTATATAATTTATTTTGTGTTTCTTAACTTGTATGTTGTTTGAAATGTAATGGCATTTCTTTTTATTGAATAATGTTGAAACTTTTTTGGATATAAAATTTTGTTTGATTTGGTTTTCAAAATCAATTTTCAGAAAATTTTTCTAACAAACTAAATATTAAATTGGTAAAAAAATTAAAAACACATCATTTTTATATAATTTTGTCTTTTGGTATTTATTTTGGTTAAATTAGTTTCTATTTTTTTAAAAGTTAAACATGACAACACTTTTGATGTCATTATTAAACTAATTCATTACATCAAAAAATCAAGGGGCATTTACATACAAGTCCCATTTTGTAGACTTATAATCCAGTAAGTCCTAGATAAAATTATTTGCTCCTTCAAGTCCCATTAATTTTTAATAGACCAATCTCCTTTATAGCTGCCAAACATCCATTGTTGTCTTCATTTTCTCTCTCTACACAATTGCAATTCGAAGTTCTTCGCAACTTCAGTTCGACGGACATGGGTGATTCGAGTTCACAAGGGTAATCTGGGTCTTGATTCATCATTGATTGAAGCTCGATCAATCAATTTCGCAGGTCACTCTTCGATTTTGAATATGGATTTTAGTTCGAGATCACGACTTCTGCCCTTGAATTCATCTGCGGCTCACAGCATCAAACCAGTCTCGAACTGATGCGAAAGTCCTCTAACTCCAAGGCTTTACGGCTTGACGAGGGTTGACGAATCCTTGCACACTCCGAGTTAACGAATCCTTGCACACTCCAACTACTGTACGAGAACCACGGGTTGGGTTCTGCTTTCTGTTTGCACAGAGTAACTCGCAATTTGATGACAACACTACATATAACCCTCAAGGAAAGAACCTTGACTTCTTTCTTCTTTAGAGAAGGCTTACTCAGGGAATTTGCAGAGATAGATCAGCAAACTTTCGGTTTTCACTGAGTTCACAGATGCCACTGCCATTAGAGAGAGAGAGATGTAGGCTTTTTTGAAATTGAGAACCTTCTCAATTTATAATATTCTCAATTTTAATCATGAAAAAAATTGAGAAATTTCTCAAAATTGATAATTATAATTTTTTTAGTTTTGATAGTTTTGATAATATTCTTAGTTCATATTAGAAAAAAAAAAAATTGAGAAATTTTCTAGTTTTGATAATTATAAATTGAGAACATTCTCAGTTTTGGGATTAAAGGGCAAAACGTCTTTTTACCTGTATATAAGACTTATTGGTTCAAAAACTTTTTGATAGGACCTAAGCTACCACCAAATATGTAGATAGGACTTTTAGGTAATTAATCCAAAAATCAAAAATAAAAAAACTAAAAATATTTATCGATTATACATTAAAAGTCTAATAATCATATTGCATAATAACCATCAAGAAATATCTGTTAACAACAAATACAAGCACCTATTACATAATAATCATCCAAAAACATCAACAAAGATAGCCACCCATTACATGATCATTATCCAAACACTTACTAAAAATTAACTTGGTAAAAAAAATAAAAATATAAAAATATGAAAGATTTATTATTTTTATATAATTTTATCTTTAGTGAGTATAAATAATTTTTAAAAATTTAAAAATAATTTTTTGACATTTATTTTTGTCAAGTTAGTTTATATTTTATCAAATTAACGACTTTGCTCTTGAAATAGAACAATGGTGTCCTTATTTGGAACAAGATTTAAAATTCAAGATCAAATGTATCACAATTGAAATGTTAAGAACTAAAATGACATAAATCTCAAACTACAAAGACCGTTAGTATAATTCGTCCTTCAAAATAATGGTGGATGTGGATGGGATAATGGTATTGTGGTGGCAGTTGAGGGCAGTAGTTATTGAGAATATAAATAATAAAATTATCAATTTTCACTCAAATGAAAAGAAAGAATTTGTGTTCAAACCTTATGCTTAGTTGATAATTATAATTATTACGCATAATTAGCTTAGGGTTGAGAAAGTAAATCGAAACATTTGCAAATTGAACTAGTTCAGTCCGATCCAGTAGGTTTGGTTTGATTTTTTTAATTCGTGGTTTGGTCTTGGTTTGAAAAATTTGGAAATTTGTATCAATAGATCGGTTCCAAATTCAACGCCATGGTTCCAAATTTGAACCAAACCAAACTATATATAACTTAAACCATATACTTAGCATGCACCCTCTTATGCTTGCTACATGTTAAATAATATGTTTATTTACTAAATATTATATTTGTTTAAGTTAATAGTGAAATAACGTGCATGTTTAAGTTAATGATAGAACAATATTATGTTTGATGGGAGTTTCATATTTTTTTGAAAATATTATATGATTTTTTTTTGTTATGAACATATTATATGAAACCGTGATTCCAAACCGAGTTAAATCGTATTTAAATGGATTGATTTAGATTGGTTTCATAATTTAAACAGATTGATTTAGTTCCAACTTTTATAAAATCATAAATAATAAATTGGTCCTGATTTTATTATAATCCGAACAAAACCAAACCATACTCACCCCTAATTAGTCTGCTTATTAGTCACCCATGGATGGAGGTATTGAATATAAATAATAGAAGGGTCCGGGTGGTAATAGCCTTAAGAATTGTCGATGAAAATTGATCATAAAATGTCAAAATTTTTATAATGCTAATATATTTTTTATATATCTCAAAGCCTTTGTTTGAGATGTGAGTTGATTTTTTAGTTTTTTTAATTTTATACCTATTTTAGTTTGGGGTTAAAAAGTTTCATTTCAGATAAATTTTTTAACTTTTTTGATTTTTGTAAGAGAAAAAATGAAATGATTATGGTTTAGATGTGATATTTTATCTTTTTAGCCTAAAAAGTCTATTTTATCTTTTTGTAACTATTTTAACCCAAACATTATATGCCAAACAAAGCCAAAATGTTTTTACACATTTCAATACACTTTAAACTAGCATATCACCCGTGCTCTGCACGGGATAAAATAATATACTATTTAATAAAAATATGATAATTATATTTAATTTTTTTATATTTTGTAAAATAAAAGTTAAAGGAAAATTAGTCAATCGGGATTTTCTTAATTGTTTAAATTTAAGAAAATCAAAATAATTAGTATAAGACATTGATCATAAGGCTTCTCATTAAAAATCTCATTTTACTTATATAAATGAGAGTATAAGATTCATTTTATGTAAGTAGAACAATTCATTTTTTCTCGATGTGAGATTATAAAATAAAAATTAAATGAAAGCTAACTAATGGGGATTGTTTAAAAATTAACAATTGTTTGGGTGAGAAGTTTATTTCGAATCAAGCAATCTTAGCCATTTTAATCTTTAATTAGATCAATCTTTAATTTATTTCGAATTAAACAAATTTAACCAGTATATTTTGCTAAAACCATTAAAATCTCAATTAAATCAATGAATCAGTTAAATCGAAAACGGTTCACCTTATCGGGTAGGTCAAAGGACCACCCAACTTATACAAAAATTAATTAATTAAAATTTTTAAATTTTATTTTAATTTTAAAATTTAAACTGTCTCGAATTAAAACATATACAACACTACAATATTAAATGGGAGCATAATGTTTATATAGTGAAACAACTCATTTTTTCCTCATTTTCTTGATGTGGGATTGTAAAATAAAAGTTAACAGTTGTTTGGACAGCAAGTTCATTTCTAATCAAGCAATCTCAATCGTTCAATTTTTTATAAAGTTAATCTTAGTTTATTTCAAATCAAACAAATCTAAGTAATATATTTTGATAAAAAAGCTAAAATCATGGTTAAACCAGTGAATCAGTTAAACCGAAAACGATTCAGCCTAATCGGTTAAGTCAAAAAAGACCAACCAATTTACAACAAAATTTATTAATTAAAACCTTTAAATTTTATTTTAAAATTTAAACTATCTTGAACTGAAATATGCACAATACTATAATAGTAAATGAGAGTATAAGATTCACTTTATATAAGTGAAACAACTCATTTTTATTTCTTTTCTCGATGTGGGATTGTAATTATTTTAAAGTTAAATATTATGAGCGTTTCAAAATCTCATATAAAATTATTTTTAAAATCAAAACCTCTATGTGAGATTATAAAATAAAAGTTAAATAGAAGTTAACTAATGAAAATTTTCTTAATTGTTTAAAATTAAGAAAATAAAAAAAAAAAATTGGTATTGATTATAGGGCATCTCACTAAATTTTTTTCTTTTACTTGTATAAATGGGAGTATAAGATTCACTTTATATAAGTAAAACAATTCACTTTTTTCTTCTTTTCTCAATGTGAGATTGTAAAATAAAAATTAAATGGAAGCTAATCAATGAAGATTTTCTTAATTGTTTAAAATTAAGAAATTTCAATAATTTATACAAATTGGCGCATAAGATTCACTTCATGTAAATGAAACAATTCACTTTTTCCTTTTTTTTGATTTGGGATTGTAAAAGGTAAATAGAAGCTAACCAATGAGAATTTTCTTAATTATTTAAAATTAAGAAAATTTAATAATTTTAAAATGAGAATTTGGACCTTGTAGAAGACTTCTTCCTTAAAATTCCTTTTATAAGATTCATTTTATATAAGTGAAACAACTCACTTTTTCTTTACTTTTCTGATGTGGGATTGTAATATTTTGTATAAGTGAAACAACTCACTTTTTCTTTACTTTTCTGATGTGGGATTGTAATATTTTGTATAAGTGAAACAACTCACTTTTTCTTTCTTTTCTCGATATGGGATTGTAATTATTTTAAAGTTAAATATTAGGAGAGTTTTAAAATTTCAAACAAAATTATTTTTAAAATAAAAACTATGTGAAATTGTA